CCTCGCCATGGTGCATGCACATGTGTTGACGACACCCCCGGGCAAGACGCTTTCAAACCCTCCAAATGAGAGACCATGTGGACGAGCCGAATGTTTCGGGGGCGCTCGCCACCATACACGCAAGATTGAAAATCAACCTCAAGAAAATCAAGACATGCAGTGTGTTTCAGCCAGTGACTGGTGTTCCACATGTGGGATCCGGCTAGGGTTTTCACACGTGATCAAAATCCCATGCGCAACCGCATAGGAGAAAATACGACCACACAGGTCGTATAAGTTGTTAACAGCACTGACCCTCGAAGCCTCGACCCCTGCAAGATCCGGCACTCCATCAGGGTGTTCTGCACTGCGAGTCGCCACGGGAGCCGAGGCTCCTTGTCTGGCCCCACGAATGACTGGCCCGGCACCACTAGGTGGGCCGAGATGAACATACGCACAAAAGGGAGACTCGAGGATCTGAAAAAGCAATGTTTGAGCTGAGCTCTCGGCCAAGTCAAGCCGCATGGTTGGGGCAATCGAGCTCTTGTGCACACAGCAATCTACACCCAAGCTGTCACCAAGCCCCAAGCTGCGAAGTGAAGCGACCAATCGCCCAGTCCCGCAAAAGACCTCGATGCCAAACAATGCGCTGAGGCTGACACCTTCAAGTCGAGACTTAGCTTGCTAAGGAAGGCATTCATGCAAGGATTGGATGTGATGACAGGGCTCGCCTGGGAATCACATCGGTTCGGACCAGGGGGTCACTTGTGGTCAACCAATGAATGAGCTTTCTGGCAGTTAGGCTCAGCACATAAATGCATGCCCCGTGCACAGCGGCCGCCTGGGGGTGCATCTTTGCACCCAGCTGCTGTGTTGAAAGGCCAACACAATGGAACTCCGCGCCTCGTGGTACTCCATTTTCCTTTGAGCTCAGCAGGCATGGAAGATGGCTGGCGTGCCTGCTTTCCCTTTCCATTGCCTTTGCCCCTGCCACGGCCTCGGAATTGTTTGCGGGGACCTCCATCTGAATTGTCCTCAGTGTTCCTCTTGGTTGCCCCACCGACAGGTAATGGCATCAGGTGGAAGACAACTCTTGGGTCACCCTGAAGCTTTGGCACCTCCTCGTCAATGGGCAACACTCCCGCTGCATTTCGCCTCAAGCCTGTTGGGAGCTTCTCAGCAAGTCGCAACCAACCTGTTCTGTCGGCTTCTAGCACCTGCGACACGTCAATTCGGCGATAACCTGGCGGTGGGTCCATTGACAGATGACTGAGAAGGAACTCATGATATTCTTGAACAATGTCAAATGTTGCTGCCCCTACCAGGTCCATGGCAAGGGCACGACGCTGCAACGCATGATGTAACAGCAGCGGAGTGTGAGGGCTGCACAAGACCTCTTGATGCTTATCGTTCACCTGCACAGTGCCGCTCACAAC